TTGCTCACTGTTCTTCTCAGGAAATAACAGCAACTTGACCTGCATGGAGGATGGGCTGTGGTCCTTTCCGGAGGCCCTGTGTGAGCTGATGTGTCGAGCACCCTCCATCGTCCCTAATGCAGATCTCCAGACTGCTCGCTGCCGAGAAGATAAGCACAAAGTGGGCTCGTTTTGCAAGTACAAATGCAAACCAGGTTACCATGTCCCTGGATCCTCCAGAAAAGCAAGAAAGTACGTGAAAGAGTAATGCCATGCTGTCAGCATGATTCAGAAAGCCATGAGTTAAAATGATTTGGGGAAAGGGATGGGCTGTTTATAACAGACCATATGTGCTGCAGGGAATATCACTGAGCAATTCCTTCATGCAGGTTGGTCTGCAGTTTCAAGGGGACTCAGGCACCTAGCTCACTTAGGCTTCTTTGAAAAATCCTAACCAGTGCTCAAAAACAGACCTTACCTTAGAAATACCCCTTTGATATGCAGCCTGGGGAGTCCCCTTTGAAACTCTGCAGGAGAGGGTTAGTGCTATTGTATACTTCTGACTCTGCACAAACCCACTTCAAACCAACCATAGCCCACAAGCCTGGGAAATGGAGTTTTTGGGAGACATGTCCAAGGCCAAAAGAGGAGTTTAGGCTGGGCAGCTCAGTGTTGGCTTTGCAAATAATCATTATTTTCACTCAGAGACGTCATGACGCAGATTCATGACTTGTTCCCCAAGTGTTAAAAGCTCAAACACAACCATGCCCTGCAACCTGCTAGCAGAGCTCAGGGGCTTTAGAGACTCGTAGCTGACTCAGCCGCCTGCTAAATGGTCTTGTTTTTCTCTGCACAAAAAGGCGAGCCTTTAAGATCCAGTGCACGCAAGATGGCACATGGCTGCCGGGCGCTTGCGTGCCCGTTACCTGTGACCCTCCGCCTTCCAAGTTTCACGGGCTCTACCAGTGCTCCAATGGCTTCCAGTTCAACAGCGAGTGCCGGATCAAGTGTGAAGATGATGACAATCAGTCGGTGAGTCTCTCTTATCCAAATTATCTCAGCCCATACAAGCTGGTCCCTAAGGACCCTGATCTTGGAGGGCCTGAGTGCCATTGAGCTCTTCTGAGACCAGAGACAGAGAAATGGAGAAGGGAAATACATCATTAAAGTAGAGGGAGAGAGCTACTGCGAAGAGCCTGGAAATAATATTTTTATGATAGTAGTAATCGTGTTAATTATTACTCGTAGAGGACTAGCAGTGAGTGACGTACTGTTTCTGGACAATAAGTGGCTGAAAAGTCTGCCCCAGTGGCTCTGTGATCTAGCTGGAAAATAAGGCATAATGAATGAAAGTAAATAGGATAGGAGTTACCCCCACTTGTCCTGTTTGGTCATAGAATCACAGAATCACAGAATCGATTTGGTTGGAAGAGACCTCTGCGATCAAGTCCAACCTTTGCCCTAAGACCACCATGTCAGCTACACCATGGCACAAGTGCCAGGTCCAATCTTTTCATTCTATTTTACCTTGCTTTTCTCTCCCAATTCCTTTTCTCGTCATCATTACATGTATGTGTGCCATATGATAATTTAACTTTATAGGGATTACAGCTATTCAGGTGAACTGTCTAAACTTTCATGTTTTTCTGGCTGTGAAGGTGTCATTTAGCATCAGAGCTCAGATCCTCGGCTGGCATAAATCAGTGTGTTGCCTTTGACTTCCTAGGACCTGTGTTCACTGATAGGAGAAGGTCTGGCCTTTAGTGTCTTGTTTGAAATGCTTAGTTTTCCTCACCAGCAGTAACTACAGTTTGTGAGATAAGTAACTTCTCCCAGAAGTACTGCTGCTGCTTAATACTCTTGGGAAGAGAAAGTGGGGTTGTAGAAGCTGCTGCTCCTACAAGCACTGCAGAGAGCAGGGGCTACTCTGACAAAGGCCTTTTAATATCATTCCACCTTCTGAGGACATATTAAAAAGGGACCAACCCTGCCCTAGGGCCAATGATCTGAAAGAGGGCTCTGAAACCTGCTCCAAACATTAAAAGCCCATTGCTGTCCCCATTCCCTGCCAGGCTGGCCTGCCCTCTTCATGGGGGCAAGAGGCAGAGCCCTGGGGTTTTGCATCAGGGCACCTGGAAAAGGTTTCCTTGTGTAAGACTTACATGAGGTTATGAGCCTTGTGAAATGAGAAGTTGCACACGTGGGTGCAGCTTGGGTGGGAGCTCCGGGGTATGGCATCTGTGGCTTTGTGCATCTACCACTTGCTGAGATGGGTCAGCGTGGCTGAAGACGTGTACCATTGCTGCCAGTGCCGGGAAAGTGGGGCCACCAGGGTAATGACAATTGGTATAACAGGTTTATGTTTGCTTTTAAATGAGCTGGACATGAAGAGGAGCAAGCAGTGGAGTCAGGGTTACAGCAGTAACGAAGTGAGCTCTGGAAAGTGAGAGAGACAGCCATGTCTCTACTGTAAGGAAGAGCATAGTGACTCTTTGGCTGTGAAAGCACCTTGAGCAAAGGAGCAGATAACATCTTGAGAAAGGGATTTGCAGAAAAAGGTATTTCCAGATATCGCAGAAAATAGACTACAGAAAAAGAGGGAGGACTCCTGGCACAAGGCAGAACCACCTGAGAGGTGTTAATTATTTAAGGATTAAACCCCACTAAGTCTCTCTCAGCTATATAAGGTGATAATGCACGTTGCATCCAAGCAAGAGACCCAGCAGGGATTTTCACAAGAGATTTCGCAGGTCAGGGAATGATGGACAGTATGTTACTATAGCAATGGATATCATGAGATCTCTGAGTATGGTTGCAGAAACTATACAATAGTACCCTCAAGCACAGCCTGCTCCAGGAACATAAGCCAGGTTTCATGGCTCACCTCTAAAAATCATCTTCAAACCCTGGCATGCAAATTGCAATGGAAGTGCACCACACTTGCTAAAACAGCAAATTGTGCTCAATTATCACTTAGCGATCTCTTCCTGAATTTGTCACCATGCTGAAAGGTCATTACTCAGCTGTACATCTCTTAATCACCGGGAACGTAATGGTCATTTAAGCAGGTATCTCCTGGCACCCAGAGCAAGGGTCTTCCATTTCCGAATATTGTGCACAAATCATATGAACAGTCAGATCTAAATTAATCACTCTCTGCCAAACTGGCCCTTAGGTGAGAGTCACCAAGCTGGATCACACCCTGAGTCCATCTGGTCCATTATCCTTTCATATGATTTTCTTATTACTTCTGGCAATGGCCAGATGTCTAGAGAAGGGGAAGCAGGTCCCACACAGTAGTCTGCCAATAAGACCACTTTGCCTCTCACTAAACATTGTGTTCATCAGCAAAGCTGAGCAAAAAAAGCATTAGGATATTAAGGACAAGAGTAATGCTGAAGGCTGTGCAATCTTCCACGCCAGTACCAGGGGCTTATGCAGATCCCTGTGGAACAATGGGTGTGGGTCGTGGGGAAGAGCTCCTAAGAAAAGTTCAGCAGCCCTGCTGGGATGGCAGCATAGACAGCATGCTAAAGGATCCCTGAGGATATCCAGCACAGTCTCCAAGAGCAGGGTGGGTAGATTGCAGGCAACATGCCTGGCATGTAGAACGGGTGAGGAGAAGCAGAGATCCTGCATGGTTCTCCCACCCAGCAAGGCCCCCGTGGGAGGTTTGGAGCCCAGCCACGCCAGACGCCCTCCTGTTGAATGTCCCACATTACCCATGGCAGTTAGGTTCGCAGCTCCTGCAGAACAGCTTGCGCAGAAATCCCCAATGCCATGAGGATAGATCTGACAAAAGATTGCCTGTGCACTCCTTTGTTGTTTCTAAAGGGCATGATATTTCCCCTTGGACTTTGGTATTCATTCTTCAGTATCATAGAGAAAATCTTTTCTATAAGAGAAATGTCATATTCTATTCCTTGCCCATTCCCACACCAGAGGATTTTTTTTTTCTCCTTTCCACCTGCCTCTGTGCATGTCTGTCTCAGCCTCTTCACTTGCTGTCACTCAAGGCAGCCAAGCTCTAAAGAGCACGTTCTGCCCTGCTAAGCATCCCTGCTCCTGTCCTGCTTTCCTTCCTCCTTCAGACGGCCATTGGGGATGCTTTCTTTTTCGAGACAAAGATGATGCAACTAGTTAGAAAATGGGAAGAGGGAAAAGGTTGTCTGTGTTCAACGCAACCCTCTCAACAACAAGAAAGAAGGCAAGTGGGGTGAATGCACCTTTATTGCAACTGGAGTGGGTCTGGTTTAAGGTAGAGACCTTGCAAGGGCCTTGGAAAGACATCACGTTGCACAGAAGAGGCGTGTGTGTGTGTTTGTACGCAATACAGGTTTCCTTTTATTTATTCTTTGGAAGAAAACTCCTTCTTGCCCCCCAGGGCTGGCAGTCCCAACCAGGGGGCTCTTCCAGCTCCAGCAGAACTTTGCTCCCAGCTCAGCTCTGCCCACATCTCACTTCTCAGCCTGTCCTTACTGTTCTTTTTTTGTGACCATCCTCATGACCTCCTTCTCTCATTCCCAGGGCCGTGGAAGCAACGTGATTCACTGCCGGAAGGATGGCACCTGGAGCGGCACCTTTCATCTCTGCAGGGAAATGCAGGGCCAGTGCACGCTGCCCACGCAGCTCAACAGCCACCTGAAGCTGCAGTGTGCCGGCGGCTACGGCATAGGTTTGTGAGCATCAGCCCCGGCCGTCTGCCATGAGGGATGCAGCTCAGACGGGAGCAGGGAGCAGTGGGACAGGAGACGAGGAATAGGATGGGAATGAGAGGGAGGAAGGAGGGAGCCCGCAGTCCTTGAAGTCACCTTCTCCTGTGGACCTGTTCGCCTGAGTGAGAGGCTGCTACGGGAGGCTTTTCAGGGAACTGCTTTTAGGAAACATGAAGCTTTGAGAGGCCAGGCATCGTGTAACATGCTCTGATTGCCTGCTCCTTGCAGCGCTTCCAGTTTCATCGTGTCCCTTCTTGGCCAGCTGGTTTTAATGGGCAGCCAGCACGCCAGACTACACCAGAGACACATCCAGTCCTCAAAATGCAGGGGGAGATTGTACCTGCATTTGCTCTTACACTTTTATGATGCCCCCCTCCTTCAACCACACGCACACAGAGGCTGAAAGCCAGGAAGCTGGCAGGGGCGTGCAGCACCAGGGTAATTCAGGTATCTCCAGAAAGAATATGAGACCAGCTGAGCATCCCTTTTGGTATGACAGTTGTTTAGGAGCAGTTGTAAGAGCACGTTTTCCCCCTTCCTTCTGGGGCGCCTGGTCACTCTGCAAGGGGTGATGGCTTCTTGCACTCAGCTTTGCTTTGTGTCACCCAGGCAGAGGGAGGGATAGACTACACACTGAATTGTACACGCTATACTGTATTTTCAGCCTCCGTTTTTGAGGTCTCCCTGCTATAAGGGTGGCAATGGGACCTGCAATGGCTGCAGCCCACACAGACCCGCGAGGCCCCTTCCTGCAGCCCCACTCCCAGCCCCTGCCAGCCCCCTCCTCCTGTCCCTTTGAACCTGGAGAAATTTCCTCGTCGTGCGGCTCCCTCATTATATCGCTGCCATGCGAGGGACCACGAGCCTCCTTGTGTTCCCTCCCCGGGGAGGAGAACACGACCTGGATGAGATCACTGCTCTGTAATGATGCCAATTACAGATCATATATCAAAACAATTCCGACCTGCTCCTTTCCGTAAGCGCAAATAGCATGGCAGAGCGCAGGAGAGCGAGCAGCGAGTGGGCTGTGGCGACTCTTAACATGGCGAAGTGTTTTATCCTTCAGATGAGGTTACCTCCCAGGGCCGGACAGGGTTTTGCAAGGAGAGAAATGCCAATTCCTGGTTTGGAGGGGAGCATCCCAGTGCTGGAAGCAGGAGGGTCTGCAGCTGCCCACGCAGCAGGCGCCCGCCAGCCTTCGGTCCTCTCCCAGCCTGCCGCAGC